CGTCGCCTGCGCGCCGCTGCTGCTGCTGCTGCTGCTGTCCTCCGCCCTGCTCCGCCGCGGCTGCCGGGCGCGCTTCGCTGCCGAGCTCGACTCGGAGGAGGACGGAGAGGAACCGGTGGCGTTCCCCGAGTCTCCCCTGCAGAGCCCCACGGTGCTCGTGGTGGTCCTCGCCCGCAACGCCGCGCACACGCTGCCTCACTTCCTCGGCTGCCTGGAGCGGCTGGACTACCCCAAGAGCAGGATGGCCATCTGGTGAGCGGGTTAGGGGTCCCGGGCCACCGGGAGGTCGAGGGCAGCCTGGAGAGCACGTACCCTCGCTGCTCGCGTGGGTCCTGGACTGGGCGGGTGGTGGAACCGGGAGGGAGGTTTGGGAACATAGGGGCGAGAATCTGGTGGCCTTGACTTTCCTCGTTCCCCTCTTCTGCCTCACCATAAGGGACTTGAGGAGACCTCCTTAGGGAGACTTTCAAACCCTCCCTTCCAACTCTCGAAGTTTCTTCTCAAGCTACAAAGTTAAGGGAGAGAGTGTCTGTCGCCTCCAGTCGTAGTCACAGAACTAACTTGGGCTGGCAAAGGGGTCCACAGAGGCTGGAGAGATCCAGAGGGAGGCTCCCCGACTTGCAGGTGCTAGGCTCCCGCTCCCTGCTTAACTTGGCTCCTGTTTTCCCTGGGGTATCTGAACCCAGGGATGCAGATTATGTCGCTTTGTTTGGAGTCTTTCCAACCACACCACGCTGTGGGCCGGTCTTCCTCGGGAGCTCCAGAAGGTCCCTGCCTGTTCAGCCTCCTGGGACACATTCCCGGTGCAGATGTAAACTGCTGTGAGGTACTCCGGGTTTCTGCTGGGGCTCGAGGAAGCCGCTTTGGGGGCGGATAAACAGCTAAGTTTTGTCAGCTTGGTCTCTTTTGTGTTTGTGGTGGGTTAGGACGGGGAAACCACGGGAAGTCTGTCCCCTTGCTTCTGTAGACCTCAGTCCGGGTGCCACACTTTTAAATCCAAGCGTTAGTGGGAGAGTTGACCAGGGAAGCTCTTGGTGGTCTGTAGAGAAGTAAAAGTTCCCCCAGACTAGCGATCAGATTGGCAGACAAGCCTCTCATCCCTGAAAATAACAGCTCAGGTCACCCTGGAAGGTTTTTGAAGGGAGCTGTCCCAGACAAGACACATCTTAAAGCAGAGATGGGCAGGGAGAGGAGGAAGGAATTGGCAGGCTAACAGCACCTGGTAGGAGAGGTACCGAGGTGAGAAAACAAACAAGAAGCACACAGTACAGCACTGTGGGCACACTGCTTCGCTGTACCCCCTGCCAGACGTGACTGCTTCCACGGAGAAGAGCGGGTTGTGTGCAAAGAGAGTGGGAATGTTGGTGAGCCAGGCTTGCACCCGGCGTGTGTGTGTGTGTGTGTGTGTGTGTGTGTGTGTGTGTGTGTGTGTGTGTGTGTGTTAACCACTTCCATGCCAGAAGAATTTCAAATCTCAAGTCTCTTCCTGACTTTTTGCAAAAGAAATCTTCTACGTATGGTTTTGGTTTTTTATGCGCTATTTAATTTTTTTTAAACCTTATAGTATTTACCAGAAGTTAGGAAGGAGAGAAGGGAAGACTGAGACAGAATTAACAACTGGTGTGTTGACCAAAGCAATGTAAGGAAAGAAGAGATCACACTTCAGGGTGTGGGTCACGGGGAGGGAAGCTAGGCTGCAGGAGCGTGAGGTCCCATTGTATCCACAGTCAGAAAGCAGAGGGATGGATGTTATCTCCTTTTCACTCTGTCCAGGACCACCAATCATGGAACAGTACTGTGTTTAGTCAGGGTAGTTCTTCACACTCCCTTCATAGACACAATCTTCATAGACACACTCTTCATAGACATACCCTTCATAGACACACTCACAAGTGTCTTCCCATGGTGATTTTAGATCCAAATCTAATCCAGCTGGCAATGAACTTTGGCCACCACAACTAGTAAAGCTCAAATCTGACCCACAAGTTTGTGTACAGAGTGTACAGCTCTTTAGAAGGTAGGAAGATTTGGAACGTGAGAAAAGCAAAATTTACAGACACCTATAAATACAAATTAGCATATCCAAGTTGTTTCTCAATAGCTTAATATGTGGTTTTGGACCACATGCTATAGAATCCAGAGACGTTGATTTTTCAACGTTAGCCTCTCTAAGCCTCCATTCAGGGACACCCCTGCCATATGTCTGGCCTCAGTGGCTTTCTGTAGTTGCAGAGGAAGGTTCCATAACACCTTTCTTCTGTCCTAGACTCTAAAGTCAGAACCACATGGCCAAAGCTGCCAAGTTCTGCTGTTTACTGGGACTGGAATGTGGGCCCTTCATTCAATTACATCTTCATCAATTTTCTGTTTTTGATAGTTTCTTCACTGGCTAAACTTGGCTGTCCTGAAACTTGCTCTGTAGACCAGACTGGCCTTGAACTCCGAGATCTTTTAATTACATCTTCACCAGCTATCTGTTTTCGATGATTTCCTTCATTGCCTAAACTTGGCTGTTCTGGAACTTGCTCTGTAGACCAGGCTGGCCTCAGAGATCTGCCAGCCTCTGCCTTCCCAGTGCTGGGATTAAAGGCATATGCCACTACAACCTAGTGGCTTTTCTTTAATTCCTTTTCATAAATTGGAAATTTAACTGGGTGGGATCTTGCCCTGAGGTCACCTCTCCCTATATTCCATTTCTTAATCTGTTTATCTCTTTGAACACAAGACTTAGTTGCATTCCACTTCCTGGTGCTCCTTTTCTCCTCAAATATTTTTCCTTGCTCAGCTTGGTCCTTTTTATTATGTATCTTCATTAGAATTAACATTAGTAACCACACAACAGAATCTACACTAGGCTGTTTTGAGATTTTTCTCTGCCAAGAGAATTAATTCAAAACTCTTCACTTTAGCCTCAGGCAAACTTTTTGGACAAGGGCCAAAAACAGCCACATTCTTCACCAAAATATCATGTGGTGATATATTGTGTACCCTAATAATAAACTTGCCTGAGGATCAAAGGACAGAGCCAGCCGCTAGATTAGACATAGAGGTCAGGCAGTGGTTGCACACACCTTTAATCCCAGCACTTGAGATCTCATGCCTTTGCTTGGGAAGCACACACAACTTTAATCCCAGGAAGTAATATGGCAGGGCAGAGAAAGGTATATAAGGCCTGAGGAAACAGGGACTCACTCTCTTTAGGCTGAGGATTTTGTGGAGGTAAGAACTAGTGGCTGGCTGTTCTGCTTCTCTGATTTTTCAGCCTTCATCCTGATATCTGGCACTGGGTGTTTTTTTTTTTTTTTTAATTAAAAGGCATCTAAGATTCGAACAACAATATCAAAAGAACAATTTCAAGGCAACATATTAAAATTCTTCTCCCATGAAAGGTCTTGAGCCAACCCCCAACATTTCAAATTGTTATCAGCACCATTGTCTTCCATGCTCCTACTAGTATGGCCCATTAAGCGGTGCTTAAAGCCTTCTGCTGCTTTCCTAACCTGAAGAACCAAAGTCGAAATTCCTCAAAACAAAAACATAGTCAGGCTTATCACAGCAATATCCCATTCCTGGTACCAACTTCTGTCTTAGGGTTTCTATTGCTGTGGAGAAAACACTATGACTATGGGAACACTTATAAAGGAAAGCATTCAATTGGGGCTCCCTTACAGTTCAGTAGTTCCGTCCATTATCATCATGGTGGGACATGGCAACATGCAGGCAGACTTGATACTGGAAAAGCAGCTAAGAGTCCTACATCTTGTAGGCAACAGGAAGTGAGACACTAGGCTGTATCTGGAGCATATATGAGACCTCGAAGTCTTCCTCCACAGTGACACACTTTCTCCAACAAAACCACACCTACTCCAACAAGGCCACACCTCCTAATAGTGCTATTCCCTTTGGGAGCCATTTTCTTTCAAACTACCCCAGCCAGCATGAGAAGACTGAGGAAGATGCCCAAGACTTGGATGAGGAGATCAGCAATCTTTGCATTAGTCTCTGGAGACTCTTGTCTTAAGAAGGTTGGTTCTATCTTAGAAGCTCTGTATAATGCCTTAAATAACAACAAAAATGCCAGTTCTTAGGGGATCAGAGATAACGGCTCAGTGGTTAAGAGCATTTGCCGCTCTTACAAAGGACTAAACTTGAGTTCAGTTCCCAGCACCACGTAGCATGAATCTTAAAAGTTCTTATTAATAAAATCAAACCTGGGGGCCAGTTATTGGGGTGAACACTGGAAGATCAGAGAATCAGAACAAGCCACAGCTACCTCACCTCACCGGATCCTCAGCTGGTCTTGTTTTCTCAGACTGGAGGCCTCTGTGTCCTTATCTGAATGACTCTCAGCTGAACTGTGCTGCTCAAAACCTAAAAGCTTAACCAACCAAATGCTTCTAGTTTCTGGTCCTCACGCCTTATATACCTTTCTGTTATCTGCCATCACTCCCTGAGATTAAAGGCGTGAGTCACCAGGCTTGGCTGTATCCTTGAACACATGGATTTCTGCCTCTGGAATGCTAGGATTAAAGGCGTGTGCTACCACTGCCTAACTAAGTATCTAGTGGCTTTTCTGTTCTCTGACCCCAGATAAGTTTATTAGGGTACACGATATTTTGGGGAACATAATACACCACAGCACCATGTCAGACCGTTGGCAACCACCAGAAACTCTAGTCCCAGGGGATCCAATGCTCCCTTCTGGCCTCTGCAGACACTCACATACACGTGGGCATAAATACCCAGAGACGTGGACAAATGAATAAATGTTAAATCTGTTTTAAAAAGTCAATTTTAAAGTATTCTCTTCTAATTCTTAAGTACTTCCAATCAATTAGATATAATTGAATAAAGTTGAATAATAAAATATTATAAATATTTAATCTATAAAATTATAAAAATAAAATAATAAAATAAAATAATAAAACTGAATAAAGTGTGGTTCCCCAAACACTACTTTTTTCATAGGACATAGTAACATGGATTGGTATGGTATAGATGTTGCTGAGGGGGCTGGGGGAGGGGTGAAAAGATTTCTAAATCATGTTGGCGTGCATGTGTGACCACGAAGGCTTTTAGAGACGTTGATAGTAAGTTTGAACTGAGTTTTGAAGGATAAATAGGAATTCTCCTGGAAAGGAAGTCTTCCAGAAGGAGAGAACAAGGAGACAAGACAGCTAGGAGCATTGACCAGAGCTTCCATTCAGAAGAATTATAGCCAGTGACCAGTGTAATGACTGCTGGCCTCCAGA